ATTGGCACACCAGCCCCACCAAGATTTTTTGTCACCAGCCGCCACTGTTATAGATACATAATTCTATTGGAACAGTTTCTCTTTTAGGTTTCAAAGGAATCCATGTAATAAGGTAGCAATAGATTCTGAAATAAACATACCCATTCATCTTTGCATGAGCAGCACAAATAGCCCTTACACCTTTTCTACCGATTTATCTTTTGATACGGTAAAATTCAAACAACATACTGCATTCTCTGTTTTCTGACTAAACAAACGTTCATACCTTGGTCGGCCAGTGATTCCTGCAGCAACAGCAGTAAAGTCACCATGGTTCTCCCTCTGTATAGGTGCAATGAATGGAAACTGGGAATAAACAAATGAATTTCTGATCACTCAGGAAATGCTTTGGAAAGGTTTTCTCAAGCATGTCTGCGCAAATGAACATGGTAAACACTATATGATTTTAACCTTAAATGAGATCAAATTGCATATATTACATAGAGATAAAAGGAACTGAAGCTGCCTTTTCGTGTGTTCTTTAAAACTTAAAACCTTTTCAACAAAACAAAATTTGTAATATGATAATTAAGTTTTATTACAAATAAAAAAAACTTTCAGTGATTCAAAGAACTATTTTGATATAAGTATGTTATCTTCAAATTGACAAAAAAATCACTAACAATGAAAAAGAAGGAGAGAAAAACACTTACAGAAACATTCAGAAGACATGGATTGGCTCTTTCCATCCAATTATAGACAGCAGAGCAGATGTTGTGGTGTGTTGGCTGACTTAGCTTTTGCTACGTTGTGGAAGTAAAACAAACTTCTGCTTTTGTTCTGGTCTGTGGGAAGTATTTGTTCAATGCAAATACTCTTTAAAGAGGCAATATAACACCCTCAACACATCCAATTTTCAATGGAGTCCAGTGTTAGCTGTGGCGAGAAAAAATTATGATGAAGAGCAGAATCTTGTAGAGACTTATTGGAACTGCATCATTTCCAGATGTTAACAGCTGCTGGCACTATAGACCTTTGTGAAATGTTAAGTTGGAAATTTATTGTGGGTTGTTGATGCTGCCATCATAAAAGGACTTGAAACTGTCCTACATAACGGAGGAACAATGAATAACCAGACACACAGTCTTGAGTTCACTTGAGTGACATGCAGCTCTTTGACCAGAGCAAGCTGCAGTCCTTTTATTTGTGTTTAGCAGCACCTGTGTGCAACTCCTCCCATTTCATCAATCAGACAGAATCAATCAAGAAACAAAAACTCAACGCCCATCTTGTAGAGACTTATTGGAACTGCATCATTTCCAGAGGTTAACAGCTGCTGGCACCACAAACCTTTGTGAAACGTTAAGGTGGAAAATTATTGTGGGTATTTACAGTTCACTTGTTTGATAAAGGAAGTGTACATTAACAGATTTAGCAGACGTTCTACTTTAAAGTTTAAGAAAGGGTGGGAACCATTATTGTCCTTACCAGAGCTTAAAATTAATGGAAAATTGCAAAAGAAGAAACAATATGTTGTTGTTTTTTTATTTAAACTTTTTATTTAACCATTTCAAGAATTTTACATAACATTTCCTGACAGAAATTGAAGTAAAAGACATGACAAGTGACGTCATACATTTACAAAGGCAGAGTAGTTTATATCTACAATCTGTGGCTAAGTAGGATTTTTCTAGAGAGGAATTCAAATAGGCATCTGTTTCCAGCAACATTTCATCCCAGCATCCTCTCCATCAGACTCCCAGGTATTGTGAAATACAAGTCCATCTTTATACAAAAGTATCCATAGTTATGTTGGAATTGGGCTATAATTACTCACTCTAGCACAGTATGTTATAACTTAATCCATGTAAAGGACTGATTGTCTTATTCCTTTTTAGATTCATTTTATTCCCTTAAGAATGATACTTTTGTGTTAAACTCTCTGGCTGTGCCTACTCCTCCTCCTCATCTCTCTGTTACAGTAGATACACATCTTCATGGTCAACATTCACACACACACAATTTCTTATCATATTTCACTGAAACCTGCATGAATTAGGAGCCTCTGGCCTGTTCATGTCAGAGCTAACTGGCCAATAACATTTGGTTACGCCCAGCCGTCCTCCCCTTTTCGAGGCCCGGCCCACATGATAACTGCCCGTCGCACCCGGAAATCGAGGCTCTTGCCAACTGAGATCCTCCGGGAACTTTGTCTGTGAGAGCCCGGCTCTATTATACTTTTCTTGCGACCAATAAATGTCATATTTGTATTCTTGATCTACTCTGGTTTATTCTCAGGCTTCCAACTAAAGAACCAAAACTGACAGTTAGCTGCAGGCTAGCAGTCATTTCCTCCATCATGTAGACGTGTTTGAGTCTCTGGAACCATTGACTTAGAGTTGGTGGATTTACATCTCTCCAGCGCACGGTCATAATTTCCTTTACTACCAGCAAAAGAACCCACGGTATATATCTCTGATCTGCATTATATAGATCTTTAGGTATGGCTCCCAACAAAAATACACAGGTTCTGGAACTACATTTACTTTCAACATACATCATACTTCACCTGTGACCCAATAAATGTCATTTTTGTACTCTTGATCTACTCTGGTTTATTTTCAGGTTTCCAACTAAAGGATCGGGCTAACAATAGATGGAGGAACACCCTTAACTGAATCCTCGTCCATATTGTCCCTCAGTCATTTCCAGTCCACACCACAATTGTATTTATTTTATACAATTGTTTATTTTTTTTAGGTGCAAAATCAGTCCTCTCTGTCCTTAGGTAGATGAATGCATTTCAATCTCACCCTCAGCCTCTTCCCTTGCCAGATAAATGTTGAGATTAGTTTGTCTTGGATGTTTAAAGTGGAAGCAGGTACTTTTACAGGAAGGGACTGAAATAATAAAAAAAGTGAGGCAATAGGTTCATTCTTACAGTCTCCACTCTACCCATTAAAGGACCTCCCACCGCAGACATAATTTTGTATTTGTTTAATTAATTTGCTATCACTGGCCTTCAACAGCTGAGTGGGGTTAAGTGTAATAATAGTTCCCAGATATCTGAAACTTTGTTTGGACCAGCGAAAGGAGACGCCGGTGTTTAGCTGTATAGCCAAGGTACCTGAAATCATCATGGCTTCTGACTTAGTCTAATTAATTTTGTATCCAGACACTGATCCATATTCATACAGGTATTTCATAAGTGCAGGGATGGAAAGAAGTGGAGTTTTTTACAAAGAGTAAAATATATCCTGTGAACAGAGCTATCTTATGGACAGAGGCCCCTTCTTCTGCTTTTGAATGAATCTGTACATTTTGGCGAAACAATAGTGTTTTTAAATATCGTTTCTCTTAATTGGGCTCACAAAGCTATTTTTAAAAACTTGTATACCCATGTTTGATTTTATGTAAGATATTGTAAATAGAAAATTATATATCGGTTGCATGGAAATAGAGGAAATGACCCCACAGGAAACAAGAAAAGTAGCAACAAAAACTGGACACTGGAATGAAGAGAACACAAGTTAAACTCCAAAAGGAAATAAAACAAAAACCCAACTCAGGAAAATCATGTTAAATAATTCCTTCTAAAAAAAGCGCAAAAATTACAATAGAATTGACAAAACAGCGAGCGACTCTATACAATCACATAAAAAAACAATGGTAAATATTGTACACAATTGAAAATTAAAATATATTGTTCACTTTTTAAGCAGGCTAACGTTCACATAAAACTCACTACGAATGATATTTTCATAATGCAAAGTACCGGTAGTATTTTTACATGTATGTTGACTAGTAACAGTAAGGCAGTGTTTTTCATTATGATAGGAAAGTCCCTCAAGATAACAAAATGTCTTTGGCGCCGACCCAACTTGTTTTTTGGCCTTGATCTGCTCAACAGATCTGGATCAGTGACTTTTTGCACCACTTCCCACTACTGGCATGAATGAAACTTACTGTTGTGGTGCCAGCAAAGGGGCCAGAATTGTACCAGAGGTGGAATCAACATTTCCTGATCCAACCGGAATTTGGGGCAAATGGACTTCATCTGCTCGTAGCCTACTGCTACGGATCTGAAACCAATGAAGAGCACCTGACCTGGCCCCAATCTTAGCCAAAAGTGGACACCAACTGCTGATACAAAGCCAGATATGTATTTTACCCATTTTATTAGAGCAGTTAAATGCTGATAACAAAACAAAAGTTACATAGAAATAGCTTTCTTTTAACCTACACACATACACAAAGTAAATCGAAATAATAAAACCCTGCAAATATATAAATAACCTATTTACAGTACATAAATTATACAGAAATAAATAGGTTATACAGTACACGAATGCACCGTGCACGGATACAGTTATCCAAAGAATGAATGACCAGTGAGGGTTGTGGACATAATTAAAATGTAAACAATTTACTATTGTTGATTTTTCCATTTTCATTTCTTAACATTCCACTGACAGTGGATATAGACATGCTAGTTTCTTTTTTACCAAGAACAATTTTTCATATGCTGCCAAACAATCAAATCAGGTTAAGCATCTTGGTGAGATGCTACTTTTGTAAGCTGTTAGTGGTACATGCGTCTGTGCTTTGAGCAGAGTCTTTGATCTTTTTCCAAGACAATATGAAATAGACAAAAATGAAGAAACCTGTAAGACAAAGATGAAAAAAAGACAGAATTTAGGGTTGACTTTGAATGTGAAGAACATTTAAATAACGCTAACAAGCATTCTAAGAGTGTCAAGTCTCAGCATCTACTTAGTGAAGACATGTATATTATTTTTAAAGAATTTCCATCCTTCTGTTTTAGCGCAGCAAATGCCACAAAATATTTCTTTCTTTAAAGTAATATAACCACAGAACAGTGGTGATGCCGTTGTAAATGTTGTTCAGACCTTGCAGTGAGTTCAGAATGCTGAAGATGTAGAGGCCAGGAATTGTGAGGTGGCCAAATGAGAAGAAGATCAGGCCCCAGGTAATGCCAAGCAGAGTGATGAGTGTCAGCAAGGTGCACGCTTTTTTCCGAATCATGCCAGGTTCATTCTTCCCCGACTAACTCACCAGATATGACCAGAAAACACAAACACACAAAGGGCTTAGGTTCTCTCAACACTGAACCGTCACTTTGAAATGTGTTGTGTTCCCCCACTGAGACAATGTTATCTGTTATTGATCTTCACTAACTTAAATGCTGTATTCTGTGCAGTCAACCCATACCCTTGAATCTGACACTTCACATTTTTGGAATACCTCCCTCTCTAACTGTGGGCAGGACTGAACAAAACCAACGTGAAGATAACAGGCACTCAGAAAAGGGGCACCCGACTGGGTGTCCAGGCTGCTTAATACAGGGATGCTATGTGTTTGGTACTAACCGGAGAAATCTACTTTATTGCACATGTTCTCTTATATCTTGCTTGGTGGTTATTTGTTAGTTGGTGGTCTTTGTTAGGTGGGTTGTGTTTTCACAGTTTCTACACTTGATTTACTTCAAAACCACACTTCTTTGCAGTGGCCATGTGATTAGAATGAAGCAACAGACATGAAAAACAAGGCACACTCATGGTGCAAACCTAAAGGAAAGTTTCACAGTGTTATTAACGGTATGTCATATTTTTAAACATATTTTATATGTTTATATAGAGTTTCTGTTCAGCAAAGGCATGAGACTGATGTATAGGGGTGGGAAAGGGAAGGATGTAGTCTTCCAAAGAGGACATAATCGGTACGATAAGGCTGTAAATAATGGTGAATGATGATTATTATTTCAAAATAAATCTTGTAAATGATAATAATCCCGCTAATGTTTGTCTCTTATGTACCGTATTTTCCGCACTATAAGGCGCAATGGATTAAATGAATAGCCTATCTTAAAAAAATGTCCTTATATCAGGTACTCCACATCATAAGGCGCATAGAGTAGAAGTTACAGTTGTGGCTGGGTCAGATAAGTCAGTCAAACTTTATTAATTGTTAGAATTGGGATATTGTTATTCACTTTAGCATTGTATGCTATCACATAATCCATGTAAATGACTTATTATCTTATTCCCTTTAGAACTATTCTCTTGTGTTAAACTCTCTGGGTGTGCCCACAGATTCTCCTTCTTTCTCTGTTAGAGTAGATACACATCTTCAAGATCAACATCCATACATACACCTCACATTCCAATGATATCTGCATGAATTAGGAGATGGTCCGTTCATATCAGAGGTAACTGGCCAATAACACTTGGTTGCGTCCAGTGTTCCTACTGTACGGGCCAGTCCCAGGCCAGAAGATAAATGTCCATCACATTCGGATTTTGCGGCTCTTGCCGACCTCAGGGAGCTTTGTCTGTGAAAGCCGAGCGCTGATTTACTTTGCTTGTGACCAATAAATGTCACAGTTGTACTCTTGATCTACTCTGGTTTATTCTCAGGTTTCTAACTAAAGAATCGGGCTAACAATAGAATACAAACCAGCGTTCCGACTCCCAAAGTGAATAATGCAGTCACAATATATTAACTCTCGAAATACAGTAGTGCAAAGCAATAACAATACAACAATAACTCAATGTTGTTGAATCGTTAATGTCCATATTTAAAATATGACAAACATTGGTCAGCTGAATTAAATGAAATTTAGTGAAAATGCACGCTTCACGCAGTCATATATCCCAGCATGCACTGCTGCTTCCTCTATGAGAGAAAATGGAGTTTGCGGCTGCTTCCCATAGTTGTGAGACCTATAGCGGCTAAATCTTGATCCGGGATTATAAGGTGTACTGTTGGTATTTGATAAAATTGAAGGCTTTTAGATGCGCCTTATAGAGCGGAAAATACTGTACTCATTCATTTAATTGTTCTAATGATTTTGGTATCAGGAGACAAACATGTATTGGCCGCACCGTATTATAGGCCGCAGTGTTCAAAGTGTGGGAAAAAAGTAGGAGCTTAAAGTCTGGAATTTACGGGAGATAAAAAAATTAATTAAACATGAAATATCAAGTGGTGTATTAATAAAGGTACACAGACATGATGGGGATTGAATTGGTTACCTTTTTACGCTGGCAGGCTCCAAAAACAAACCTGATTATCACTATAAACATGCTAACGTTAAAAAGAAACATCAAGCCAAAAATTCCCAATGTTGTCGTCACCTTCACCACACTGTCGGTTATATAGCATCTACAAAGAAAGTGAACACAGACAACCATCGCACATTAAAAATGTCAAACCAGTTTTGCTGGAATATCGCTTAAGATTCAGTTTTTCTCGATATAAGCATTTTGATAGCTTCATGACTTTGTGCTTGAGGATTAGTGCTTGTAAAA